GGACTGATTTTATATGCTTTTTTTTTATTGCCCTTGTAGGCAGACGAGCATACGGCCCACCTGATGGTGAGTGGTTACTGTCGCCCATGGACTTCAGCAATGCCAGGGGCAGAGCCAAGCCGCTGCCTACCGAAAATGCGGGCGGAAATTCATGGATACATCCAGGGTGACCCCTAGATACTTGACCTTTCTGGCCCAGGGTATGGGGAATGGTTAAAGAGGGTAATCGGGGGTGTGAGATCCCTCCTCCTAATCCGGGAGGAAATTCCGTGTGGTGTTTCCCCTTTGAAATAGCACTGCTGTGTTTTTCGCTGGGTTGATGTTTATGTGCTATTTTCGGAACCACTGTCCTAGAGCTACTACTGCGCTCTGGAGTTTCCTCGCGATTAGGGACTTGTTTCTACCTGGATAGTAAACAGTCGTGTCGTCGGCGAATAAAGCTAACTGAGTCGGCGGCGACCGGGGAATATTGTATACGAATAAACTAAATAGAAGCGGCGAGAGTAAATAATAATAAATAATAAATTCTTCGTGCTCTGTATCGCCTCAAGAATTTCTTACCATCAGCGACTAAGACTATGCTGGTACAAGCCTTGATCTTCCCTATAATTGATTACGGTGATGTGTGTTATTTTGACCTGCATGCAGACCTCCTTAATAAACTTGATCGTCTTCTTGATAACTGCATTCGATTTATTTTTAATCTTCGTAAATATGATCATATATCTTCTTATCGTGCCCAGCTCAAACTTCTACCGATTCGCCAGCGTCGTAATTTACGTGCACTGACGACTCTTCATTCCTTACTTATGTTTCCCGAACCTCCTTCCTATCTAACTCCCTATTTTCAATATCTTCACTCCAGCCATGAGCGGGCCCTACGTTCTCTCCATAGCCTATTAATTCGTTGTCCCACACATAGTTCTAGTTATGTTCGTAACTCTTTCGTCGTGCAATCTGTTCTGCTATGGAATGCGCTTCCTCTCGATACCAGGACTATTACTAACCGCTGGACGTTCAAGTTAAGGGTTCGGCGAATGCTGTTGGAAAAGTTAGCGGAATCGTCATGAACTTATTAAGATGAAGTTATTTGTTAAGGAAATTTATTAATACCTACTAGTGGTCCCACAGAAGTCGTAATTCGACTTTAATCGATTGAAATTTTATGTTTAAACATTATTATGGTTCTATTGTCAAATACTATTGTACTTATATAATATAATCACAGATTTTGCCAAAACTACACTATAAATAAATAATAATAAAGACAAACAGTATTAATCTATTCTCAATTTGACCACATACTTTAAACACTATCAAAAGTTTGACAGTTGACAATAAACAAAGAGTATATTTTTATATAATTGTGTCAAATACATGGTAGTGTGTGTAATGTTTCTTTATTGATTTAATGTATCTTGTATGCATTATTTTAAAAAAATATTTGCATTGTGCACTTCTTCCCTATATTCTCTATAAGTGTGGAAAATTTCATACTCCTCCGTCCGCGCAATTTTCGTAAAAAGGGATACAAACTTTTTGCTTCACGTATTAATATATAGATGTATATATGCTTGTGTATATATGTATGTATATACTTTTTTTTGTGTATGTATTTGTAACTTAATATAAATTTCATTGCACCTACCACTATCCACTCTGCACTGCCTTTGGTTGACTGGTAGAGAATGCCTTAGGCATTAAGTCCGCCAATGTAATTTTTACATGAAGTGTATTAAATAAATAAATAAATAGTTTGAAAATCAAACCGTTGTGACATACTTTGTCGAACGCTTTTGCGACATCAAAGAAGAGGGCTCTCGTGTATAACGGTTATACCAGAATGTGCTCTGTGAGGTGGTGCACCTGTTGTACGCATGAGTGATTTGCACGGAATCCGAATTGTTCATCGAACCGCTGCGGCTACCGGTTGGTGTAACGGTGTAATAGTCAACTTTTACCGTTACATGTATGCAAAATCTCTCAAGAGCGTCGTTGTCGCGCTTGGGAACAGGTTACAACTACTCATAGTGTACTACTAGTACTAGTGTACAAACGTTTAAATTATCGATCGATCGTTTCAACTGGCGCCAGCTATAAAAGTACAGCTAAGGCTAAAGCCTTAGGTTCCGTCATCATGAAAAATGCAATATTATTGTGGGGTTACGACTCATCAGGAATCAGGGAATCAGACATCAGGAATGAAACCGAGACATAGCATCCAGAAATTTATTACTGTTGTTACGCATTGAGGTTCGGGATAAATAAAATTCCACCAAAGTACAACTAAAAACTGTATTCAACACTTAGAACACTTAAAACACTCAACAAACAGCTTAAAACTCTCAATTCGCTTCTTTCGCTTCGCTTCAGGTGATCCGTTCGCTGTTTCGCTTCGAGTAGTTCCGATTACTAACTGACTGCGTGCCATCCCTGCAAAACTTTTATAGCCGATACCACATCTCTAGAATTATCGAGAATATTCCACACATCTCTAGTATTGTGTTTCCGCTATCTGACAATAGATGGCGTTGTACGTCCCGAGCGTTCTAGGTGTTACTAGATCCTCCGATATTCGTTCGACTATTCGGCGATTGATGGCGTTACTCTTACCTGCGTAACATTATTAAGTAATCACCAATCGTAGCCCAGTAATTTAAATAAATTATAAAAATGGAGACTGAACTAAATAAATGACAACCGTTAATGATAAACCAAATCAAGTGTTATCGAGCAACACTTCCGGCCGCACATAATATATTATTTACGAACCAGTTAAGGTACACCCTAACGATTAGGAAATACAGCGTGGCCCATAAGTCCTTTGATATGAAAAAAAATTTATTAAAATAAAACTAATTACATTATGAATTAAATTTTTATTTACATAAAAAGCTTAAAAAACGGGAATTATTTTTTGAAAATAACATCTCCTAAATGTAATCCGTTGCGATCACGGCACTCTTGCAAACGACGTCTAAAATTGTCGATGACTGCGCGGCACGTCNACTAAGGACATTAAGTTTATATCTAAATATGTTAATAACATAACAATTACAGAATATACTTTAGATTTTAACATAAATAATAAGTCATGTTGTAATACTAATAAGATTAAGAACTTTATAGATAGTGTATCCCCTGCTCCTGTGGTTTTAAAGAACATTGATTTAGATGACCTATCCTTAAAAAATAATGAGATGATCCTCGATTCCATATTAAGTGGCGCCGATGACGTCATTCATACGCCACACATAGTTAAGTACGGAATACATTACTCTACCGTGACTATCCTTTTACTTATATGTCTATTTAGTTATTTAACTTTTAAGTTGTATGTAAAATGTAAACCTGGCAGCACACCTAAAGATATAGATCTTTTCAAACGCATGAGATTTAAAAGTAAGCCCGCTACTATAGAAGAAGTTGAATATGCTGATATCCCTGAGGTAGCCCCAGCTTCTGTCAGACGTCACTTATAAAATAAACTTCGGACTCTTTCCCGAAGTTTATTAAATATGGGGGGAGGTGTTATATATCCCTACCGAACCCTAAACTGCTGACACCCTCGAACCGCTGACTAGACGGTCCGAGGTAGAGACTTGATGAACGGTCAGTAGTCAGTGAACTGTGTTAGAGTACGGGTGCGGCTGCCGGGATTACTCTGAGTGTCATTATCCATATTATTCAATATCCAATAAATAGTTGTGTCCTAAGAATTTTCCTTTTTTAAAACGACCTCAGAGAGAATTCCCATAACAGAACGTAACGTAGTAACTTAACGACTAGGCGTCACGTAGAACAGAGTGGCTCAAGAAAGACATGAGTGGAAAAGGTTGGAGGAGGCCTTTGTCGATTGGCAAACAGATCTGCAGAAAATAAGAAAAATTCAAATAATTCTAAATTTCTATATATTATATTTAGTCATATAGTTCTATTAAGGATCTGAATAAAAGGCTATATTATTATTATTATTCTGTATTATTATTATTATTATTATTATTATAATCAAGTAAATAGTTCATTCATATTTCTTTAAACTTATAATATTTTATTGGCGCCTTTCGCTTGACAGCTTCCGGCGCAATAAACCTTAATGTTATTTATGGTACATAATTCAATATTATTATATAATAATTGTACGTAAAAAATCAGCAGAATAATTAAGATAAACAATGTTTAATATTACCTACTAAGTTTGTATTAAAAATAGGTCAAGATGATTCTATAAATACCGGCGGTTAGCATATCTCTGGGGCATTCGTATTCTACCCGCCGTGACGTGTCCTAAAGAGAATATATTATTTCGTGTGGATGTAAAGTGTCTCAATTGTCGCCGCCACCCTGAGGATCCTTTAATACAAGGAAAAGACACATTCGATTAAAGTCGTGCAGAGATAGTTTTTTTTCCTAGCTAAGCTGATAGCCTTGAAAGGCAATTTCAGCGTTAGGGTTACGCTGAAACAAGTAGGTGAGCTCACGGGGCTCAAACCTGACGACACTGCTAACACTAACCATAACAAGAGCAGTGCTTCGCAGAATCTACCACCGGATCGGAACGCGACCCACCGAAAAGATCCGGCGAGAAACTCAGTGGACTTTGTCTGTGGGTTAATTTATTCGCCGAGCCCTTCGTCGCTAGCGACGGGTTCGACGAGACCGATGACCGATGTTTGGTACCTAAAAGCACCGTTAGGGGATGGAGGATCCGAAATGACGTGAGTTTTATCATCTAACCGGTGGTAGTGGGGATGAATCACACGTTGTCTGTGTCGTAGCAATTACTCAGCGTTGCACGTGCGCTCGGTACTTCACGACGTCCGCCGACATATGTTTATGTGCATATTTAAATGTATGTGTACATAAGTATGTTTCTCAGACTCTGGTACCAATAACACAGGAACCCTAAGTTGGGGCCGGATGTCCGTGCGCGGTTTGATCCCAGATTTTTTGTATTCATTCGAAAAATTTAATATGAACAATGCAAATGCTTTTTTATGATTTATTGTAAACTTAATTAGTCACAGGTGTTCAAGGCCAGACGATGCTCTCGATCCAGGGCTTGTAGTGCTCGACGCGCGTGTAGAGGCCGGCGGTCGCTACATCGCACTCCACGCCCGATGACGTCACGCCGAACACTGCCTTCGCGCAGCCCACCTCACTGTTATGCAGGATCAAGGGACCGCCGCTATCGCCCTGTCACAATATATTATCGTATCGAGGGGTGGTAAGTAGGTTGGGTTAGTATAAGCTTAAGTTCAAGTTTGTGGCATCGCCATTTGGAAAAATGCTTGAAAAAAAAAGGTTGAATGCCAAGGATCTGCATAATTGACAGATATACAACCTTAGGTTTCCTTAAGGTACACGTGAATATTTATTGGGTTGTCGTTACAGTCGATAAGGGACTAACTCTACTACTACTAAAGTTTGGATTTATGAAACCACGGTAAAAGTGAAACTTTTTTTCACATTATAGACATTTAACTAACAAAATAGCGTGGAGCACTGGCACAAATGAGTAATAGTCTATAGACTACACGGTCAGCTGCTGCGAACTATATGCGCCGCCATATTGACCTTGGCTGCTCTGACGAGCGCCTTTCACTTTATACCTACTCCGCGGCCGACCGTCACGCGACATGCAACACACAGACGAAAAAGTTTGAGACGATGTAATTAAGGTTTAAGGCTGTGGAGAATTTAGTTTACTACAAAACATATCTTTTAATTGTTCTGTAGTGTTGCTAGTTTACGAGACTCAGTGCGAAAACCCTTTGTACCCCTTTTCCCAAGTGGCGGCCGGGGGACAAGGGTGGCGACGTCACAAACTATAACTTAAGCCTATACTAACCCCCACTACACATAAAAAATAAAACTGTGTCCTATGAAGTTGCAAAAATGTTGCTTAAACCAAACAGCCATCTCTTCTCGATATGAGACAACTCAACTCTGACGCATTACGTTGTGGTACAATACGAAGGTAACCTCGCAAGTGTCGCGCGTCTTGTTGCGGTCTCCGTAGCACAGCTGCGTGCTGTTGTCGAACCCGTCGAGCAGGTGGCGGTGCGGAGGGTAGTGCGTCAAGCACTCCTCGGCGGTGAACTCGCTCACTTCAACCTAGTATAGAATTATTCGATTATCATATGGACGTGACAACTCAGGCGCATTGCTTACTCAGAGATGTGATGTGTAAACTATCCTGATAAACATCCTGGAAAACGCGGGTGTTTACCAGGAACACTGCTTTGGTAGGTATCGGGTAAGAGGTGCCATGAATAGATATGAAGAAATTAAAGGTGATCAATAAATGTAATCATAATAATATTTAACGTGAGGCAGCTCTAATAGCTTACCTTCTGTAAGACATCAGCTAGGCGTGTATTTGGTCCGAGGTAGCCCCAGCCCAGGGCCAGAGCTCGACTTGGATCGATATTGCGCTTCTTCTCACCAGAATACAAGCACGCGGGCACCACGTTGATGTTGAATTGTATTCTACAAACGAAATCAAATTTCAATCATCATAGGGTTTCTCTTTACCCCGTATACGCACAGAGCGGTCTAAAAATACTTGAATGAACTGTTTGAAAGAGGATATGCGAGAAAACGAGGGTGAGTGCACAGATGACGTAACGATGACCTGTGCAGAGGGGTAAGTTCAGGTAGAGGCTGCTCATGGTAATCTCAGTGTGTGAGAGGTAGACGCGCATATTAAATTGGCTACAGATTGGTGCAAACTAAAAAACTATCTGATCTTAGAAAAGTTCCTTTGTTGATTTCGATAGGTATGCATATTTACTAAGCATCATGATGACACGTACTGTTTCTCGGTCTTGAGGAGCGCGATGTCGTGGTACTTGGAGGGCGAGGCGTAGTCAGGGTGCGGGATGACCTGGGCGAGGGTGTGCCGCTGCCAGATCTCAGGAGGGTCGGAGCGCTTCAGGATGCCGAGAGCTGCGTACTTCAAGGGTCCCCTGCGGACGACAGGGCGTGCTGTTTATTGGCGTCTAGTGTCTGTGTGTGCGTGTGCGTGGTAGCGTGGCGCCGGCGACTGAACTGACAGGCGTGGCTCGGAGATGCAGTGCGCCGCCGTGAGGATGTACCGCGCGGAAAGCACCGACCCGCCGCACAGCCACTGCGCCTCCTCCGCGCTCGCCCCGAACCCCAGCAGCGCCTGCAGCACACGTAAATATGTATATCTTCAGTCACTTCAGATATATGCATTAATTATTTATTCCCTCAAAGCAGACTAGACATGTAGTATAGGAACATGGTAAACAATAAATGTTTTTTAGAGGCTATTCTAGTTTCTCGCGGAAGAGTAAGTGAGCTCACGCGTTCAACCTGACAGAATTTGATAATGCTAGCTAGCAAGCTAGCAAGAGTGATTTGCAGAATCTATTAACGGAACGAAATCGCGACCCACTGAGAAGATCCGGCGAAAAACTCATTGGGATGTGTCTATGGGTTCGTCAAACTCTTTCGATGTTTGATGAGGACGACCGCTGGTGCTTGAGGAGCCTAAAAGCACCGAGAGTGGATCCGGGGGATCCAACAGGACATATTTCGGGCGATGGCGGCTTTGCGTTATTGCGACGCCAATCCATGGATATGAAATTAGTGGCGGCCACGATAAGAGGGTTATCATGTCTCGCCGTTTTGTCAAAGTAGCGTTCTGATGCTACCATAAGATATTTACGTATCGGTTCTAACTTTAGGTTATCATGAAAGTCAATGTTACTCACGATTGGATCACCTGGAGAGAATTTATGTGCACTTGCTTAGGCTTTGAGCACAATTAGCCAGCGCTACGTGCCTGCCAGATATCATAATGTACTATGATTACCATAAAAGGAAACTCCGCTCTTTCGGCAGCTGTACCCCCGGCTGGTGATATCCCATAGGACTGAATAATGTGACATTTTTTTTCTGAGTTCCAGCTTTTTTCGAAGCCGTAAGAAGCTCCGCCTGGACAAAAGTATGATGGTATGTCCAGAATGTTGTCGATGCAAGCTGGAAGAAGAGTTTCGTTGAATGTTGTCACGCTTCTAGCAGGCGTACCTAGTCTACTAGAACTATATAAATATATTTGGTACAAAGGTAAGTCTCTGAATAGATGCTCGTTTAGACCTGAAATTTGAGTGCCAGCGTCGAGGCTTGGTAGCTCTAGATTATTAAGGCTTCCAGGCCTGAAATCTGAACACCAGCGTCGAGGCTTGGTATCTCAAATGACATAAAGGAGTCGAGACCAGGACACTAAAAGTCGAACTCAATAGTAATTTAGTGTAATAGTTAAGTGAGATGATTTATGTGAAGTATATAATTTTGACGCAGGGACGCGTCATGAGCAGGATGGCCGAGTCGGCGCGTGTTTTTATAAACCGTTAGTTCATGACTAATAAAGATAGTCAAGTTGCGGGCCACGCGGAGTACGTTTTAAAAAATAGAAATTATATTTTATGAACGTTTATTCCGTACCAAATCTGACTTAAGACTAACTTATTACTAATCTTAATCTAACGGGAAGGGCATCGGACCACCGGTCCAGCGGATGCCGTCGTCTGCGAATTCCACAATTCAGCAGTTGAGTTCGCCGAAGATNCGTCGAACTCGACAAAGAGGTCGACGTGCAACCTAACCCATGCATCAGCCCGCTGAGTTTCTCGCCGGATCTTCTCAGCGGGTCGCGATTCCGATCCGGTAGTAGATTCATTCGCGAAACAATTGCTCTTGAGTTGTTAGGTCTCCTTCGGAGGCGCTCGGGCAGTTGTTAGCAAATCCCACCCCTCTTGGCTGAGCCTTTGCTCGCCCACCTGTCCTGGTGAAACTGGAAAGGCCTTCGGGCCACCAGTAAACATTCAATCATAAAAAAAAAAAAAAAAAAAAAAAAAAAAAAAAAGATAGCGATCGTAACCATTTCTCTTCGGGGTGTTCATTCGTAGTCACAGGACGTGAGCGTGCGCGACGGCCGTGTGTCCTCGTTGTGACGCGCTCGCGCTGGTGTCAGGCACTATGAATGTCTTGCAGCTTTGGGACCCAAGGACATGACAGCATTAACTCGACTCGCATCTTAAAAAATGAAGTCTAAGTGTCAGTTGCTCAGGAATAGCGGATACGCGATCCTTCAAACTGGAGTGTGTGACTGATTTGTGGCAGAAATATGAAGATAGGACCAGTATCCTGGGACTGGTACTGTCCATGCGGAGCCAGAGCATGGCCCACCGATAGTGAATATAAAAACTTAATTTACCTGGTACCTCAACACGAGTATATAATGATTTGGAAAACGTAGTGGGTAGGCCTCAGTATTGAATCGAATGCCACAGCCGTGGGAGCACAAAGAGCAACTCACTTTGTACTGAACGGATGTTTTAAATAATCCATCCTATCCTCGTGAAACTGAATAAATCTAACAATATATATATTTTTGTCGAACAGAAATAGTTGTTATAAATATGGAAAATAAATTGAAATTTGATTAATGTAATTGATAAACATTTTCAGTGACCATTTTAGGCCTCTATCATATACTGGCTCGCGTGTGGTGCTGTAATACTTCTATAGCAACTATGTAAGTATGTACATACATATTGCAAGAAACTGAAGCCTTCAAAATTAATCGTCCTTTTACGAGTAGTACAAGAGTACCTCACCGATACATTACCTTGATAGGTTCCACGCATGGAATTTTAAGTTCTTTGTCGACTCGTGCCCTGGGTCCGGGCCGACACGTGCTACAACGAATCTCGACGCGTCCCGGACATCAAATATGAAAGTGAAAGATTCTTATCCTTTATTATAAAAGATCTTCGCCCCGGGGGCTTAAATTTGATTGGCAGCGGGAACAAATTGAATTTCCCGGGGTCCGCCGCGATGCGAATAATGATTCCCATCTACTGGCCAATCCTGTTACAGATATCTACGCTGTTTTAATGGATTTTTGAAATGGAATATGGACGGGAGGTTGATCTTCACAAATTGGAGTTAGACTAGCGAGTCTGTGCTGCCCACACTGTCGCAGCCCGAGAGCCACTGCTGCGGAATATCCCATACGTTGAGAGTAGTTGTGTCCCGTGGCTTCCCCCGTGCTCGACGTGCAATACAATAATGATGAAGCGCGTGCCATTTAATTCTAACCTATTACAAAACTCTTATAACATATAATACTTTTCTACTTATAATACTGACATGAATGAAATACAGTTTATTCAAAGAAGCATAAAAACATTGTCATCTTATAGCGCTTGATTGTGGTTTAAAATGATGCTTCATATAAACTTGGTAAAGTTAAAGAGTGGTAACTCTTTGTCTGTATATGTGAATTAATGTGAATCTCGACTTGTGTACTCGATGGGTAAGACGATCGGTGTAGTCGTGTTACATCTTACTGGTGATGCGAGTATGCTTACAATGCATTGATTTCATTAAGAAATCTCACGACCGCCCGCTGGTGTAGTAATCGCCGTGATTGCTGGGCCGACAGTTCTGGGTTCGATTTCCACATCGGATAGCATTCATGTGTAGGACAGGTTTGCTTGCTATGTATATACAATATATGTATATTATGTTTTAAATGTATCTCAATTTGTCTATTAGTACCTGGTTACTTATAGAACGGGAAATTTTAACTTGGAACCGTCTGTAATTTGTTTTGATTATTAAAAAAAACTTAATTCTTCCACAACCCTCTTTTTATGAAGTATTATTTCATATACGAGCTAGGGATCGTATTTATAGTAAATTATGGATAGATCAATCGAGAAACAATCAGAAATACGTTCAGCTTAGATTCAGTTAAACATAATATGGAATCTTTTTATTGAAAAGGATTACCTTATGAGAAGCGTCCTTACACTGCAAAGAGTTGTCACTTAGGTACTCACATTCTTAAAGAAAAATATATATTTAATAATGAGGTCTGTGCCTCTTTTCTTATACTTGGAGTTACGGATGTTTTAGATAACAATGTATACAACTCTACAAGGTTAGACTACTAAGCTACTCGAAACAAAAAAAATAATGGGTCTTTTGTATGACCCAAGTGGTCGAGAAATTTAAGAACAGAGTTATTACTGCGTTTTCATTTCAAAGCTTTTAATTTAAACCAAATGTTGAATAAACAAAATCCTCAATAGTATAGAATTTAACTTACAAACCAAGATTAACTGTTGTATAGAGAATTCAACAGTACTATTCTCTAGATTTGGCCAGACCTGGTTTTCTACGTTTTTCCATAACGTCCAAAGTTTTTTTTATAATTTCTATACAAGCAGCGAAGCGACCGAGGCGAAGCGACCCGCCCTCGCTTCGTTTCGGAAACCGTAATTTATTATTAATTTCTCCACTATTTAATGGATGTTATTATACATATAAACCTTCCTCTTCAATCACTCTATCCATTAAAAAAACCGCATCAAAATCCGTTGCGTAGTTTTAAAGATTTAAGCATACATAGGGACAGACAGATACAGGGACAGAGAAAGCGACTTTTTTTTTTTTTTTTAGATGGATGGACGAGCTCACAGCCCACCTGATCTGAAGTGGTTACTGGAGCCCATGGACATCTACAACGTAAATGCGCCACCCACCTTGAGATATAAGTTCTAAGATCTCAGTATAGTTACAACGGCTGCCCCACCCTTCAAACCGAAACGCATTACTGCTTCACGGCAGAAATAGGCAGGGCGGTGGTACCTACCCGCGCGGACTCACAAGAGGTCCTACCACCAGTTAGACCACCAGTTACCAGACTTTGTTTTATACTATGTCGGGATATTATTCCTTCACCGTGGAAATCAATCGTGAACATTTGTAAGGTACCTACGTATTTCATTGGAAAAATTGATACCCGCCTGTGGAATTCGAACACTGGTGCATCGCTACATACGAATGCACCGGACGTCTTATCCTTTAGGCCACGACGACTTCCTCTTACCTGTAGCTCCATATAGATTATCTACGAGTGAAAACTAGTACTAATTCTTTACTTTATAATTTGTTATCAGAATACAAGTCAAATCAAACATTTGATGTTAACTTCTGAAGCTTTAACAACAAAAACTGCTCGAATCGTATTTTATATTTTGTTGTGCTTTTTGTGTTTTTAAATTCGCAAATGTAATATTTCATACAATACATCAGAGTAAATTACATTCGGTAATAAAGCTGAGCTGAGTACGTGACCGCTGGGGGGGTTCACACAGATTTTTGTTTGCCTTGATTTGTGGGGTACGTGCTACCCCGCTACGGTGCTACGGAGCTACGCCGTAGACGCTTGATAAATTGTAGTACGTAATGATGCGATTTTTGAGAAATTCGCGTTGTTTTACGCATACTTTTTCTTTTTATATTAAAAAAAGTGAGTTTTAGTTAAATACATTAGTACAATAAGCGCCGTACGGAATGTTTTTATCGAATGACTGCACAGACATTCTGAAATACAAGTTTGTTTGTACTGGTACAATGTACAAAGTGTTAGAGTTCCCTGCGGTTGTCATGACAACAACGACATTAATGAGTTCGCTAGCAGCTTCTTTAATTATCATTATCTTGTCGTTGTTCTGAATACGATTGTGAGGGAATATGTTATATTATTTGCGTATAAGACATCGGAACTGTGCTACGGCCCTTACTTTTCTTGGTGTTAGGAAACAGTCAATTGTACCTACATATTATTATATCCGTTATCAAAAGAATTTTCTAACCCAATTGAATTAAAACATCGTAGTCCTAAGTTCTATTCATCTGATCAATGACTAAAAGGATAGTGCCTTCACAATTTACAGAATTCCTCAAAGAAAATACCATAATACCAGAAGTTCAATCACATTCCAAGTCAGCTCGTAGCGACTCTACAGCATTACCTGACTACTACTAACTTACTAACGATATATGTATTATGATATGTCTTTATCTGTGAAGTTGTCATTTTATAATACCGACCATTTGAATCATAATGTACTTATGTGGTGCTGGCGATACATACCAAATTTAAATGAATATGGTTATACAAACATATAGAATTCTATTTTTTAATTGAGCGATTCGCTTATTGATTAGTGGTCTGTTTTCACACATTTGTATATTTTTTCTGAATATGGACACGATAAAAATACTAGTTATGATGTAATACGAATTCCCCCGCGGTGGCTGCAAAAACGGCTAACAATATTAATGATGCGTGCGTAGTGAAAACTAAAAACGAACGCGGACTCGTTATGGGTTTGAAAGCCACCGACATGAAAATTTTTATCTAAAAAATGAACCCCGCGGTCATCCGAATACTAAAGCTAACATCGATCGTAATCAAAGGCGATCGTAGAAGCTGACGATACTATAATTACGACTGAGTTAGCAGCAGCTGTCAACTTTAGCATCAAAATAATAAAATAATATCGGTCGGTTAGCGTCAAATTGGCAAGGCAAGAAAACTTGATAAGTGTGTGCCGCACCAACTGAACGATCGCCTACCGCGATAATATATGTACACTGCTTCTTAACAAATGGCACCAACATTACTGCGGATGTGCACACAATGATGAAGAAGCTCGCAATCTCCGGTCAGTCTTCCTTAGTAGCTCGTCCGCAATACTCCCACACGACAAGGCTCGACGTCACACGGCACTACAGACGGCCTCTGAGCTACAAGAGCTAGAGTTGGAAGTTGTCCCTCATCCACCGTACTCGCCAGCCTTGCGGAGACAGACTTTTGCTTTTTCCAAAGCTTGAAAACTTCGTGGCAGGGAAAAAATGCTAAACCCGAGAGGCAGTTCAAAATGCCCTTGAAGAGTTTGTTGGTTTTCGTACATCTGACTTCGTTAAGAAGAGCATTGAAGAATATGTGAGGATTCAGCGTTCTGATAATTCATTGCGGGTGTCATACAGATGGGCAGCTAGTAGTGGAGCACCTAAAGTAACCGATTTAAAATCAGCTGCGACGTATGTTCGTCTATCTCCTACCTCGCTACCTCGGCCGCCGGCGGCAAAAAACGCTTGAACAAAATGGGTACTTTGTTTAGAGTACATCATACATTAAACTTGCTTTCTAGCTACAGAGCTACAGTACTCACAAAGAAAATTATCACACAAATCAAAGGAGAAAAATAAAATCAATAATTTACCCACAAGTGTCACGTGTGCCCGTACGTACACTCTCTCCGTGTCATGTAATCCAATTTCTGTAGGATAAACGTCGGAGCACCGCGGTATGCGAGGAATTTAGAATTTCACGACGACCTATAATTAGAATCGATATGTAAGTATCTGAAGATAGCGTCAGAATGCTTCTTAATTGTGGCTGTTACGTGACGCGACTAAAGTGACGTCGTCTGCATATCGAACATTTGAAATCTCCCGACTTTTGTTCCATCCGACCAGTTTTCAAGGGTAATTCTCATTATTACTAAGGTACGGAGTTCAAATGAAATGTGCAGTCAGAGTTATGGTCTTATTGTAGATCGTCTTTGTCTTATTGGCTCGAGTGGTTTGTCTGTGAGTCGTGTAAATAAAGCCTGAACTGTTCACTTCGTCAGCTCATCTATAAACTCACATGTGGGTCATTAAATCAATCTAAATGCCATTGATGTGAAG